CAGTCTATTGCATATAAATTATATAGTGACAGTCTATTTAGTATATTTTTGTATAATGACAGTCTATTTTGTATATATTTTGTATAGTGACAGTCTATTTAATATATTTTTTGTATAATGAGTCTATTTTTGTATATATTTTGTACAGTGACAGTCTATTGCATATAAATTATATAGTGACAGTCTATTTTATATAATTTTTGTATAGTGACAGTATATTTTGTATATATTTTGTAATATACCAATATTCAAAAGAAATGCTCTCCAACCTAATACATAGTCTAAAAATGTAAGATGTGGGGTCTACCTCTACATTGGTCAAACTTTTGGGACTACTATTTGATTTTGATTAATTTTTTTTCTTGTCTTTAAATTGAAGGTTTCAAGAATTGAATACAAGATTTGTCAAATCTCAGCAGTTGTAGTGTTAATATTAATGATGACCAGGCTCCAGCTTCGACCTCACCGCAAATCGTGAAATCGAAATCAAAACCCAGTCAGTCTAACCCACTGTGCTCGATCTCGTTGGCTTTAGATCTGGGTGGAAACTCAAACACCGGCGACCCTCCATTAAATCCAGTGACTCTTTCTTCTCGTTTTATTTATTGTTTTTGGGGCTTTTGATATCATAAACAACCTTGCATATGGATGAATTCGGTTCATCACCGGTTTCACACACAGAACCGGATTATCCGCCTGAGGCGTCACCGTATTCTCCACCCTATAAAAATATTTCCGGGATGTTACCGGCTGATGTTCACTCAAATGCTTCATATTGCTCTCAAATTTTGTTTCAGGCAAATCAATATCAATCCAATTATCTTTTATCTAAAAACTATCTAAAAAGAGTGGAAATAGGGAAATGTAGTTGGTTTTTTTTTAACTGGGTGTATCTAGTGGTTACGGAGTTGAAAAGTTCGAAATTTGAAGGGGAAAGAGTGACAGTGGTTTTGGGCTAGCCCTTGTAATTGATTTTGGGCTATTAATTGTATGATTTATTTTGTGGCTACCAGTTGTCAGTGGCGAAGCTACGTGCAACCAAGGGTGGTCAACTGACCACCCTTCGCCGGAAAATTATACTTTTATAAAGTAAAATATTACTTGTTATTGATTAAAAATAGGCTTTGAACACTCTTACATAGCCAACTGACAAAGGTTTGAACACCCTTGTTGAAAGTTAACATTAGTTTTTCCTAGATGGCTATAAGTGATAATTGCTCAAGTATTTTCTATCAGATGAATAAAAGCAAGAGATAAATTAAGTAACCGAATATCTATACCAAAGCAATAGATGCACATGAAGCAAGATGCCATGATAGTATCTTGCCCTCGAAATTCCTCTGAAGAAGAAAGCGTACTTGGCACATTAAACCATATATGTCACTGGTGAAAGATGCTAGCTCTAAAGTGAGGGCTACACGTAGCTTAGCTTATCCCATATCTTATTCAAAAAGAGATTAGCAAACTCCATATTAAACCTAGTGAACATTCAAATATCTGTCCTATATATTCATTTGTGGATTGAATCTTTTCTACCTCTTTGCACACAAAGAGAATGTGATGACAAAGTGAATGTGATGACAAAGTGAATGTGCCTCCTTACTTAGCAATATGTGTTTGTACATACACTTTTCGTGGTTAATTAGCATACATCATTACCGTGCGCATATGAAAGAAAGTAGTCTAAATCTCCCACATGGAGTTTTGGTGAAACATTTTGCTAACTATCTTTTTGTTGAGTTGTTTATACAAAAACATAAGAGAAGATCCTTTTCTGTAGCATCTCAACAAGAAAGTTCAACTTATAAGAGGTTCAGGCCGGGATCTTTTTATGTTTGGTTCCCGGACCAGCTTTAGCCCAACCCTTGAGGTCAGTGGGCTAATTGGGGCTTGGCTAATAAGAAGTCTTGATTCTAAAAGTCCAAATTAATGAGTTCGATTGGCCTGGTAAACCTCAGGAATAAGGTCATTTTAATGGCTATAAACAAACGGTTTTTTGCACTTTTGGACACAACATGCTTTTAGAATAAGAAGAATATTCCAACTAAAAAAAAGGTCGTGAGCGTGTCTGCCTTTAGTCTCTTATTCTTCTACTACCTTTTATATAGTTGGACGGTTCAAAGAATGTTTTGGTTGAATAGATACCTCAAAAGGTACAGTGTGTTTAGTCCAGTTTAGAAATAAAGTTAATTCATCAATACGTTATGTATATTCTCCGCGCGAAAAGGAAGCAAAACGAAAGTCACTAATAATATATTATCTCCTTTATGGAAAAAAGGATATTACTTTTTTCAAATAAAAGGTATATATCGTTTGGATTTTATCAGTTTCTTTTACTCTGCATTCGATGTTTATATTGTATTCTTTTGTATGATTGAATACGGTGGCGGATCTAGGTTTTCTAAAGGATCCGAGACCCACAGTCGGGGAGGAATTTGATAGTGATTAGGGAAAAAAGACTTGGAAGAACTGAAAGAAAGAAAAAGAAAAATGGAAATGAAGAAGTCCTAATAATAGAATGAGTGCCCAAGTGCGATATTTATTTGTTCCTAGAAATAATTTACACTATTACTAGTATATAAGGGTTTTTTTTTTGTTTGGGGGGAGGGTGGGATTGAACAGAGGTTCATGTGAGTTGTGACCCATGATCCACCGGTTAACCACCCATATTATTCACTAAAAAATGGGTTGGATAATAAATTTTAAAAAAATTAGTCAAATATGGATAAATGACCATATTATTCATTTATAAAATGAATAATCAATAGAAAACTAATTGGTTTAACTTTTACATTTGTAAAACCTCAAATTGTGGGTTCCCCAAGTTTGTGAGACTAGGAATTTTTTCAAAAAATGATCATATTCAAGAAGTCATGGATAATATGGTTACTCATATTATCCGCCGGTTAACCCATTTTCTATTCGTATTAAATATGGATCGGTTGGATAATTTATCATTACCCGTTTTTGACCCATCCCATATCCAACCCGACCCACCCATTTGCCGCCCCTAATCACGAGATATGTTAGGTATAAATAATAAAAACTAAAGATAATGCAATTAGAGCTGTATTTTTTTTGTGTGGATGATTCACTAAAGAGATACTCATTATGCTGTAATACTACACATCATGAACTGCAATGATAATACTTAAAATAACTAAGGGAACAGATTGCGAAGTGCCATGATCAATTTTCTTCTGAAATGGCAAATATATATATATATTGATTTAGTGGATCTGCATAATTTGGATACATGAAAAATAGTAGAAACGAAATAAGCTGAAGAATAGTAGAAACAAAAAGACATAAAGATGGAGAATAGTAGCAACGACTTAAAAAGTAATTTGATGAAAAAATGATGTATGTCAGAAAGATAAAATCAATAATTCATGAAAATGTCAAATAAAAAAGAAACTTTTATTGATGCCATGTGAACTATGGGACCCGACAAGGTTGAAAAGAAATGACACTATATATANTGTTAATGGAAGAGTCAAAACATAATGCAAGAAGGACAATTCACATGTGAAGCCTACCTTGCTATCTACTGATTATACCTTCCTATAACGGCAATGTCAAAGGGTATTTGATAGGTTGGTATCTATAAAAGTTAAGTACTAATTATGGTGGAGTCAATATTTGAAATTTATAAATTTAAAATTTTAGTTCATTTAAGTTACTGTCTTCTTAATTAATAATTTATATATATTTAATAAATTTTTAAGACAAATAAATAATTTAGATCAAATCTATTTATTTCGACCAAACCAGTAAGCTATATCTAGCTCCAGCCCAGCTTGTTAACTACCTAAAATAGTAGTGCTTTGATTGGGAAAATTTGACAAAACAAAGGGTAACCAAAGGAACATTTTGGTCCCATCGGCAGGCTCCACCATGTTACTTTAGTTCAGTAATCAACATACAACATTAAAAAAGATTGTCATATCAATTTAGAACTGGTAAAGTAAGGAAACATTGATGAAAAAAAAGTAAACATGATGTTACTTTCTTCAATACTGAAATTAGACCATAAATCCAAAAAGAAACAAGGAGGTGCAGAAAAGGTAATTTTCTTCCTAAGCGTCCAGCACCAGCAATAAACAATGCTAAAGTCACAAGCTCTGATGGTCCATTTAGTTTGGAGGATGGTTATTCATATAGATGATGATATGGGATCGATCCCCTCAATGCTTTCTGGGTCGAGTCTGTCGCACAGGGCTTGCCTAGTGCGGTTTATATTCCCTGTGTGGTTTGCAGACTATTACACAGTGAGGGTTTACACAGTGAGGGTTTACCCAGTGCGCACAGAGTGCTCACTCGAAGGGCAGGCTATGATAGAGACTGTAGCGGCTACAGGTTTTCTTGAAATTCCAAAAAAAAAATAAATAATAATAACAGTGGGGGTTTACCCAGTGCGCACAGAATGCTCATTATAGAGTGCTCACCCGAAGGCATTCTTGGAATTCCAAATAAAAATAAAAATAAAAATAACAGTGAGGTTTACCCAATGCGCACAGAATGCTCATTATAGAGTGCTCACCCGAAGACAGGCTGTGACAGAGACCGTAGCGGCTGCGGGTTTTCTTGGAATTCTAAAAAAAAAAAATAATACATTGACAAACTTAATTATTACTAGTATTTTTATAAAAGTTTATATATGCGGATAAAAAAACTTAGTCCAGGGCTCAATATAATATCCTCAACTCAATTTAAAGTTTTTTCTAACTTAGTCAAGTCTTTCTAGAAGAAAATAAAGAATATTCCATTTTGTCCAGGGCAAACAGCCCTCAACTTCCACGATCTAGAAAGCGCGTGCGCATCACTCACCCTACTGTTTTTTGTTTTGCCCCCAATTTTCTCCAATTTGGCCTACCTTCAATTCAAAAACTTCATAGCCATTGATATTACACCTGCTTTTCGAGCTGTTATATAACTAGCTCCTTCTCAGACTTTTCTGTTTGTCTGTTCAGTGGACGGTCTGATCAATCGGTATGTTCCCCAATTTCCCCCCTTTTTTATACTACTTGATGTTCGCATTTTAAGATTACATAATTTGGTAGAGGATTCATGTTCTACACTGTCAATATGATGCCGGTTGTAGCATGATACTTTCTCATCTTTTTTAGGTTATCAATGTGCATGTATTATAGAGAGTTTTGCTTAATTGGCTTTAAGTATTACAGTATTTTCTTCTCCCTTGAATCTGCGCCGTGTAATTGCTTGGATAAGATGGTTTCAATGATATATTGTAGTGAAGCTGGTTGCTCAGTACTAGTCTAGTTGTGTTCTTCCTCGTTTCTCTTCGTTCTTCAGTAGATGGGCTGTTTCCAGTCTACAGCAAAAAAGCAGTTCCCTGGACACGAAGATCCTGTAGTCCTTGCATCTCAAACAGCCTGTGAGTTATTTATTGATCTTTCTTCAATTGTGATTTTAATGTGTGCATTTGATTTGATACAATTTGAGCTTGCCTCTGAATTAAGAGGTTTGTAGTGAACAATCTGGCAAAAGTGAATGGAAGTCAAAAGCAATGACCTTTGATTCTGAATTCCTTTCCATTTTTAAGGTGTTGAATCCATTTCAGTGTTTATGGCTGGCATTATGCTTGTAGCCTCTTCGTGTGGGATGTGGTGCTTCTTATCTTAAAATTTGAAAGTATAGCTTGAGCAGTCTTTTATTCAGCAAGATGAGACGTGCATATCAAAGTTTTAACTGTGATGACGTGGAAATGGATAGAAGAAAAATAGATGATAGAGAAGTTCCTGGAAACATGAATAAGAATTGGGCATGAGAATTTATGATCCAATAATCTGTTGAAATGAAACTGTTACTTCAGAGGTATGTTAAAAATTAGCATCGAAAGGTACCTAGGCTTGCAACAATTTGGTGCGGACCTGTACCATTAGGTTCTATGAATTACTCTTACAATATATTCGATCTATTAATTGTTTTAAGTGCTCTAAACAGACATTGGCCTGATGTAGTTACAAACTTCAGGTCTAGTCATTTGATTATCCCATAAGTTCTCGCAGAATAATTTTAGTTGTTTATCTATTCCCACTCAAACCCCAAAACCCAGTTTGTATTGTTTCCTACTACCCAAATCCTCTTTTTGCATGTCCTTGCTTAGTTGCTTATGTGTTTTCCTCTCTGTTATTTCCTCTTTTGCAGTTAGTGTAAGCGAAGTTGAAGCATTGTTTGAGCTGTTCAAGAATATTAGCAGTTCGGTAATTGATGATGGCCTAATTAGCAAGGTAGTCTTCCCTTAATGCCCAAACATACTCTTACTGGCTCTCAATGTGGGGTTGTGACTTCCTGCTGCATCATTCCAGATGGATGTTGTATGAGTTACTTCAATACTAGACTAAATTCTGTGTCTTTCATCATCTAACTGGGCATCTTTATGAGTTAACTTTTTTGCCTTTTGACCTTCAATTAAAGTTAGAAGGTAGTGTTATAGACTACTTTACTTGAAAGATGGAAAGGGATGGAAAAATGTAATATTACTTGATGTATCTTGAATCATGGCATTTGGTAGGCATGGAAAAACTTTCCCTGTCACAGCTACAACAGGAATCATAATTGCCTTTTTCTGATGGTTACTCTATCATGAGATGAGAAAGTTAATTTTGCAAGAGTGAAAAGGTTATTTCCGGGAGATATTTGGTGGAGTTTGCTCTTTCACGTAAACTGCACTGCCATAGATAGTCGAAGCTATGCATTGCAGAGAATGGCATGGCTTCATTTGCAATTCTATTACGGTATCAATTTGATGAAGTCTATTTTCTTTGGAGACTACATCTCATCCTTGCATCTCTTTTCCTTTTTAGTTTCTAATAACGGCACAGAATATCAAACTGTTTTGTGGTTAAAAAATTCTGCTGAAACTTCTGAAGATCTATTATAGGATAATATATTTTTTTTCCCCTTATAAGTACTTATTTTAGTGCTTATGCTTGTGAAAATCATGTTGGAGGTGCAGGAAGAATTTCAGTTGGCTTTATTCAAGAACAGAAATAAAGAAAACCTTTTTGCAAATCGGGTATGATTACTTCTTTGAGTATGTTGATTTTTTCCTCTTTGATATAGTGCTGGTTCATAGCTGGCAGTTTGAGCATGCTTTTTAAGAATTGCTTGAAGTAAAATTAGCATAGAGGTTATAGCTTAATATGTTGTATCAAAGAACGCCTATAATATGTCATCAAGATGTGGATTAAGCTAAGCTGATATAAATTTACATGAAAAAGCTCAGAACTATTTATGGTATATCAATTTGCCTCTTGAACTTTCTGCGTGCAGATTTTTTATCTCTTTGATGTAAAGCAAAAAGGAGTTATCGATTTTGGTGATTTTGTTAGGGCACTTAATGTTTTCCACCCAAATGCCTCGCAAGAAGAGAAGATCAATTGTAAGTGAAATAAAAGATAAATATAACTGTTTAATTCGTCTTTTATGTTTCCATTAAATGCTTAACTGGCACCCAAATAGTCAGATGGAAACTTCATCATTCTGCCATTGCAGTTTCATTTAGGCTTTATGATTTGGATGGCACGGGGTTCATTGAGCGGCAAGAGGTATTCTATTCTAGTTTGTCAGTTTTCATGCTGTGTTGAAAATCGTCTAGAAGCATCTTGTAATTTTTAGCTTGTTGCAAAGTTGGAGCTTGTCACATTCTCAAAAGATACATAAATATGAAAAGGAAAAAAGTAATGAGTTTTATTGTCTTTTGAACAAGGTGGGTTGCTCTGATGGTAAGCGTCCTCCACTTCCAACCAAGAGGTTGTGAGTTCGAGTCACCCCAAGAGCAAGGTGGGAGTTCTTGGAGGGAAGGATGCCGAGGGTCTATTGGAAACAACCTCTCTACCCCAGGGTAGAGGTAAGGTCTGCGTACACACTACCCTCCCTAAACCCCACTAGTGGGATTATACTGGGTTGTTGTTGTTGTTGTTGTTGTTGTTGTTGAACAAATTAAGGTTCCTTTCCTCTAACCGTGTTTGTGGAGAGTGATAAGTGTTGCCAAATCTTGCGGCTATTGTTATTTGAAAAGCGATAAGTGTTGATTGTTCGTTTTCAACTCTTTTTGCTTAAGACGGGCCAACGTAAGTATACTTGGAGGGAGGAAGTTTGAATGTGGTCTTTGATCCTATCTGTCTCATTGGTCCATGATCATTATTAGGTCAGAGAAAAAGTTGAACCTTATATTCTTTCTAGATGTTTAAGACCGTGCACTTTTCACTCTGCTGCTGTTAGTCTACTAGTTGTTCTTCTCTTCCTTATTTTAAGTTTTAGCAGCTTCTATGGAAGACTTAGAGACTGGCATTTTCCAGGCATTTATTGCACTTCAAGTCACTTATTGGCTGTGTACTCTTTGCATATTGTAACCACCCCTTTACTCAAGTTCTTAGCCATCTTGGAAGTTGGAGGAAGCAGTCATTTGATATTTGCTTACTTTCCCCTTCAGAGTTCAAAGCAGTGTCTGATGAATGGTTATACAGAGATGAAATCACATTTACATCATATTTTGATTTTTAGTATTGTCTGTAATTTTGGCAGGTTAAGCAGATGTTAATTGCAATTTTATGCGAGTCTGAGATGAAGTTGGCCGACGAGATCATTGAGATAATACTGGATAAGGTAATTTACTGATGATAACCAATTTAAGTTTCCATCATCCTAGTCCATAAAATTGGTACCTCTGCTCCTCTGTTTGATAAGATGTAAAGTTAACCAATGCGTTCTGTTTGCATTTAGTATCACTTCAATATGTCGTTGGATCCTTGCCTCTCAACCAAGAATAGCATATTCGAACTAGCCATAACAACATCTTTCACCTTGCTGGTCATTTGCACTCCTAATAGTCTTGTCTGGTGGAATTTTAGTAACTAGTCAATGTAATTTCAATGTGTAGACATTTTTGGAGGCAGATTCAAATCAGGACGGAAAGATTGACAAATCTGAGTGGCACAATTTTGTGGGCCGAAATCCTTCATTATTGAAGATAATGACCCTTTCGTATCTGAGGTATCATGTTTGATATTGGATATATGGTGAACATAAATAAATTCGATGGAGGACGTTGTCTGATGAGATTTTTCTTGTTTTGATGCAGGGATATAACTACTACTTTTCCAAGTTTTGTATTTCATTCCGAAGTTGATGAGATGGCTACCTAACTAAGAAATGTAATTCAGACCGATTATTTTTCTCCTTATTCTGGTAATTTATTGACGCACCTAAGTTTGTTGGGGACTGGGAGCTTTTTCAGAATATAGAAAAACTAAAGGTGATTAAAATGGAAACAGTAGTGATTGGGTCAAGAGGTTAAGCTAGCCTTCCATTGTAAAGTGATTTTGTTGGCAATATTCCGTCGTTTAATTTATACCAGCTTTGTATACTCTATTCTTAGAAGCTCATGATTTGTACTACCAATTCTTGGGGAATGTATAAGATTAGGATCTTTATTTACTTAAATTGCTTTAATAATTGTTATTGGAATTAGATAATTGAAAGTTGGATTACCTAATGGGTTGTGTTATGTGCCATCACGACTAGTTGGATTTTGGGTCGTGACAACAACGCTCTTCTTTGCATCTAACAAAATTGAACTTTTCAATTGTCTTGTTAAAGCAAATATTCCAACTTCGAGAAGCTTGCTTTAGTCCATAAATGGATCTTTGTAGCTTGCAAATCTTATTATGATCAGGCGGAGAAGTGAAACCTTCAGGTTGTGTCATGTACACATCCTCTTCTAGCTCACCATAAAGGAAAGTTTTTTTCACATCCATTTTCCATATTTCATTGCCAGAACCTTGTGTCGCCTCTTCATAGGTCTTAGGGTCATCATCATTATGATCAACCTCATTTGATGCAGGTATACTCTGTAAAAGAGTCAAGACGCAATCAATATGTTTTCACGGACAAGCGTGTGATTTCACCAGATAGAATGAAAAATGTATGCACCTTCAAAAACTGGTTTAAGTTTAATTAAAATGAAACAAAGGTATTACACCTTTCAATCAAGTGGTCAACCGCATTTCATGTTCAGCTGAAATCCAGCCATGAAAAATTATCAGCACAAAATCCCATGAATGAAAATGGAGTCGTCCTTTCCCTAAGACCTCTCTTTACCACAACATTTCCATTCTTCTCTACTTTCACCTTCTTTTCTTAGCATTCTTTACTTTTCTCAAGTTGGTCCAGCTTCTCTTTCCCTTTTTGAGAGGGGGCAGGGTTTATTTTTCAATCAACCATGGCTTTGCCATGGATTCTTCTCCTCTTATTTTCATCTCTAGCTTCCGTTTCATTCACCCAATCAACCCTCACATTGGACTACTATGCCAAAACATGTCCTAAATTTGAAGAAATTGTTAGGGACGTTGTCCTCCAAAAGCAACAGCAGTTCCCTGTCGCTGCGGCAGCTACCCTAAGTCTCTTTTTCCACGACTGTGCTGTGGATGGTTGTGATGCCTCCGTCCTTATCAAGCCAACAGCCTTCACCAAACCTGAGCTCGAGCATGACATCAACCACTCCCTTGCAGGCGATGGCTTCGATCTTATTTCACGTATCAAGACCGCCCTCGAGCTTGCTTGCCCTGGCGTTGTATCTTGTGCAGATATTCTTGCCACAGCTACAAGGAATCTTGTTGTTATGACTGGTGGACCTCACTATAAAGTTCCTCTAGGCCGAAAAGACAGCCTTGTTTCCCAAGCTTCAAGTGTAGAAGGAAAATTACCTCGTGCAAATGAAACAATAGATCAAATGATCAAAACATTCCAAGGTCTAGGTTTCAACATCCAAGAAATGGTTGCATTAGTTGGAGGTGGACATACTATTGGCTTTGCTCATTGCAAGGAGTTTGCTAATCGAATTTTTGGCACTCCTGACCCAACAATGAATCCCAAATTGGCAGAGAGATTGAGAGGAATGTGCGTGAATTATACGACTAACACTGACATGGCAGCCTTCCTTGACGTGATAACCCCCGGCACTTTTGATAACATGTTTTTCAAGAATTTGATGAAGGGTTTAGGAGTTCTTGGTTCTGATCAATTGCTTTTGAGTGATCCAAGGACAAGGCCATTTGTTGAGAAATATGCAAATGATAGCCAGGCTTTCTCTATAGATTTTGCTCATGCCATGGAGAAGCTTAATATTTATCAAGTTAAAATTGGCAATCAAGGAGAGGTGAGGAGGAGATGTGATGCAGTTAATACTGCACAGATGTGAAAAAAGAGAAGATAAAGGATTATGAGTTCTTGATTATGTTGTTTGAATCACATATATAACTGTTGATGATGATGGTGTGCATGTTTGTGTTTATGATGATCAAAGGTAATTGAATACTTATTAAAGACTAACTGTGAGATTATTTGATAAGATTTCTTGAAAATTTTCCAGGATATTGAATTAGGGGATAACACGGTCCTTGCTTCACGATTGAAAATCTGGTCTATTGTTCCGTTTCAAGTGAAAAAAATATTGCGACAATTATCAAAGAAAAACTAGAACTCATTTAACAAAGTTTAACATCTCTTATTGCACTCATTTTTTTTTGATATTCCTGGTATCCCGTCGGTTGTTTGTTAACTTTCTCAATCTTCAACAACTTGTACTCGAAAATGTTACACTCTTTCTCATTATATTCCTGGATAGCACGGTTAGCAAGTTCAGTCAGTAGTTCAACCTTTTCATTGAACTCTGGATATGGTACTATTCCAGCCAGGGTAGACATACCGGGATAGTGATATACGTCAAAACCATTGCTTTGCTCAATCTGGCGGTAGTAACTGGACCAAATAGGGAAAAATAGGGGGCGATGCTCCAGCAAAGCGCCGTCGGGCAAAATCTCCTCATCGCTGTCGTTCTCATAATCGTAATTCGGGCCATGTTTAAACTTTGAGACGTATCCACATCCTCCTCGACGTATTTGCCTACTCCCCACACATCTTCCTAATGCAACGGGTTCGGCCATTATGCTCTACCTTAACACAAACTAAGGTCACCTAACACAAACTTCGTCTGCAAAACTAGGTCGAAGGTTACTACTAACACTTTGTTGGTTGGTTCATGATTAGCCTCTTATATAGAAGAAAAAGAAGACAATGATGCGGTCGAAACCCTACAGAGAATCCTAATTAAACTCAATTAAGGTTATCTACGATGTCAAATTGATCCCACTCCCAAGGGAATTGTGATTTTAGAACGTTGGTACTTGGTTATGAATAGTGTCACACCCCTTTTAACCCCGAAAAAAGAGATATATGTGTTATGTGGATTGTCGTGGGTTAAAGAGTTTTTCCAATTAAAGTGACAAATTTGAGTAGGGATTAATTTATTTACAGAGTCGCCACTTGGAATTGATTTTTTGGGTGTTCCAAGTCACCTTTTATTTGAATCCCTATTCAAAGGAAGGTTTGACTCTATAATTATTGGTCTGCGAAAACAAAGTCCGGGTAAGAAATTCTGTTGACCGGGGAGAAGGTGTAAGGCATTCCCCGAGTCCCGTGGTTCTAGCACGGTCGCTTTATTGACTATAACTTGGCTTGAATTAATTTTGGATAAATTGTAATTTATTGGTTTCCGTGTTTTATCTATGTCCTCTTTTATTATTAAAATATGAAATTATCTTTGAAACGGATCACATGTGTGAATCCACTTTGTTTATTGTACCCAAATCATGTCACGCGTACGCGTACACAATTAGCAGCATTTTATTATTATTGGGATTATTTCGTCAAAGTTGCACAAACGCATACCTTGCCCTTTATTTTCGGAAATCGTAATTATGTCACGCGAACGTATACATAATCACGATGGTTTGATTAAGATCGTGCCTAGAGCAAACTAACGTATTTATGAGTANACGTTTTTCATCAATCATAGTTAATTGTTCCAAACCGGTTCTTGACCCAATCCTTATCCTCAATCTCGACTTCAACAATGATCCAAAGAGAGGGAATTTCAACTTCTTCCGATTTCATTTGGATCTTGGCTTAGGCCTAATGTTCCACTTCTTTGCTTATTTTCTCACAAGCCTTATCTTCAACACATTTTGCTTCTTGATTCATTATTTCGAGGTCTGACAGCGTTTTAGGATCTGGGCATGAAGTCCGCAAGCATGTCATGTTATTAAAATTTGTATTAACAGAACTGAAAAGAGAATGAGAAAGGTGACAAGATTAAGAAAATAGACATTCCTAGACAATGAAATATTAATTTCATTAAATTGATTTTTTTTTTGAATTTTAAAGATAGAAGGGTTTTCATCGAAAAGTAAGACAATAATGTAAAACATCCGAATTACACCCTGAAATAATCTGGACGCAGAAAGGATAGCAAGACTGGCTACAGAGTCTCCCGTTTGATGGAGGACTTTCAGGTTTGGCGACCATTTTTTTTTGCTTTTCTTCTGTCTCGGCAATGGATGTAATGGCCTTCAGTGCCGAATTAAATTCCTCATCTTCACGGATCATTTCGACAACTGGCCCATTGGTGTGAACATGCAAAGGATTGTTCATCATATTAGGGGCCTCTTCATCCCTAAACATTATTGTCTTGACCTCGATGAGGTCTTCCACTGCTCTTTTAAGAGTCCAACAGTCTTCCGTATCATGCGACACTATTCTAGGGTGGTATTCACATCTAGCATTAGCCCGATGCGAGGGGGACTCGGTGTTTGGCCTGTTCGGGGCTATTGGCTGCAGTAGACCTAGCCTGACTAGCTTTAGAACAAGCTCGAGTATGATTCACCAACAAGGGTGAACTGATTCCATCTCGGGGGGCTTTTTTTTTTCTTTTCTTTTTTCTTTTTTTTTCTTTTTGTTGTTTTCGCTCTTTGTTTTTCTCTTTTTTTTTTCTGTCACTCTTTTCTTTTTTACTCAATTTTTTTTTTCGATTTATTTTTTCACTCAATTTATTTATGGCTATGATCGAATCCGATGGGGATTGCCTACGTATCATGACGTCGCATTAATCAGATCTTGCGTAGTTCGGGCAAATCGGGAATAAAGTAAAATAAACTAACTCTTTTTTTTACTCATATACAATTAATCCCATAAAAGCTTCTAGCAAGGAAAAATATTTCGATTTTTTTTTTTGGAATTTTGTTTTTTTGTTGAAAAAAAACTTCTAAAGACAGGTTTTTTTTTTGCTTTTTTTTTTTGGAATCTTCGAAAGAAATACTTAAAAAAAATATATATTTTGAATTTTTTTTTTATATATTTAAAATGACAATATTTTTTTGGATTTTGATTTTTTTGTTTTTAAATTTTGGGAGAAAGATTTTTTAAAAAAAAGACGAAAATATTTTTTGGAATTTTGGATTTGACGTCTCAAAGAACGACTTCTAAAGAAGGAATTAAAGAATTGTTTTTTTGAATTTTTGAAAATTGGGGGCCGG